ATAATAATGGTTGCACACTGCTACTATGCTAAAAGTCATTGTATTATACTTTAAATGGATGAATTATGACATGAGTGATATGATGATACGACTATATATCCTTGTAGTATTTCCATCTTTTTTCTAACTGCCTTTTTCTCTTGAACTGATGACATTTGTGAAGGAGGGAAAATATTTTTAAAAGCTGCTCTTAGTTACCCAAGAGCCTCCAGAAGAGCTTGTGTTGTTTCTATCTTAATTACTTGCATATAATTTTCTGTATATAACTAGAATTCTTTGGGAAAGTTGACCTAATCATTCATTTTTAAATTCCTTCATTTTTTGTGGGGACTCAGGTTTGCTTTGCTTAGCGGGGGACCTGCTGGCTTCGGGGCAGAGGGTCTGATCGGCGACAGAGTCAAACTCTGGGACCTGTGTCTTCCCAACAGGATGATTTATTTTTTAATTTAGATGGTTTTTATACATCTCAAGGAACTAGCAGTCACGTGGGATATGACAGTCACAAAGATTTAGGGTACAAAGAAACAGGACATTTAGTCTGTTAGTTGGCGCCAGAAGGATTCTTAAACTTTTACTCAAGGTTATCAATGCCCATCCAGTAATTTATTGGCCACAATGTTTTCTTTCTTAGAGCTAAAAGCATGGTAAACTTTTAGCTTTTAGCTCAGGAGTAAACCTTTAACCTGGCCTAATCTCTTAGCCAGGGATAGCTGAGTTATTTGTTTAGGACAAGGAGATGAGCTAAGGGTTGTTGACCAAGACCCTTTCCCACAGAGCAGGGAGCATACACTTTTATGACCAGGCCACCTCCTCCTGCCAGCCCAACAGTGTTCCGCAAGGCAGGGATTATCAGATTTTCAGTGCCCCTCCCTTTAGCAGAGAATGCAGCCTGGACCTATAAGTTTTAGGCTCACCTCACCCTAGAGCCTGGCATCCTGGTTTCCTACAATTCTTGATGTGAGAGCATCATTTATACCTTAGTGTATTGGTACTTTTTTGGAAATGGGGCTGCTCAACTTAGATGTACACTGTTAACTGGACACTGTGCAAGTCTTGAGATGGGCTGAGAATACGATGATATACCAGTTCCTGAGCAAATGTGCAGAAATGTTCCTCCACACCCTTGAAGTTGTGTGAGATATTGTAGATAACAATTTCATACTTATTAACAGAGGGAACAAAGATATAAAAATGCAAACCATAACACTATGCAAATATAGTAACAAAGCCAGATTGTGGACAAGTTTCCCAGGGAAATTGAAAGTGGGTGGGGAAGGGAAAAGGAAAAGGCAAGGTTGAGGATGGGACCTGGGGCACTCAGTAGATCAAAGAATGTGGAAAGAAACTCGGGGACCCAAGTGGAGATTTGAGTAAACCAGCAACATTCAGTGAGTTGCATCAGATGCAGCCATGTGATAATGGAATGGATAAATACATCCCTTCAGATCTGGCTATAAGGAGTTCATTGGTGACCATAGGTAAAAGGAGGTTGTATGGACTTTGGTAAGGGAGATATATCATATTTTCTGAAATAAAAAGATAAGAAGAAGCAAACATCATTTGAGTGTTACTCTTAAAACAAGAATGCAGAACCTGGGGTGTGTCTCAGTCATAGAGTTTGAGCTAAACACCCTGAGTTCTTGGTCTTGATTCCCAGCACCAGACAGAAAAACAAGGAAGAATGCATATAAAATGACAGTTGAAAGATAAATGTTTCCATGTAACATGTGAAAACTTCTAGGTAGGAATTTGAAGATGTTTGAAGAGAACTTGGCTACTTATATTCAGAAACAGTAAGAAAGTTTTAACTCTTAAAACATTACAATGATGGTATCAGAAAATAGGTTTCTTTTTAGATGATTTCTTTGCTTACTGCATTATTATGAATTGTAGAAAAGATTACTCTTATAGGCTTTGTTACAAAATAGAGACCAGGCACGTTCCAATGAATTCACATGGACTGGAAAGAAATGTTCCTAACACAATCCAGAAATTTTTTATTTTTTAAGATGATTACATAAGGATATTTGGCAGCTTCTCCTGTAACTTAGGATACTGTGAATGGTACTTACTTATTTTTGCTTAACTAAAACATGAAATTATGGAAGAGTGAAACTTTTCAATGTGCCAGTCACTAGATGCTATTTGCTTAGTATAAACTTGGCTTATCTTACAGTTTACAGGAGCCATAAACTACCATGTCCTGTTAATAGCTTCCTATTATTGTGAACACTGATTGATTAAATATGTGATTTTCCCAAGGGACTTAAATATTTGGGGGCACAATTCTAAGAACATCAATAATTTCTGCTGTGTCAGTCCTTTAGGAAGTAAAGACTTTTTTGGAAAGATAGTAAGATTTCAGAGCATGGGGACAAAATGAACAATGGCTATTCTAAAATTTTTAGTTCCTTTTATTTTTAAAGAGAAATAGACACTTATAAGTACTATGCCAGAGCTCTTGCCTTTCTCTCAGGGCATGAAGGCATTTCTTGTTGAGAAGTTGTTTAGGATCGAGAGAGAAACTGCTCATACCTTGGTGAGAAACCATAGAATCTCATTTAGAACACTGAGAGAGCCCCTGCTTAACCTTACCTTACCCCAAGACTTTCCTATCCAGAGCTCTCTTTGTATTCTGTGTAAAATGTTTCAGCTCATTTCTCTCAGACAATTCAGTAACTTTTCCCAAAGATGGCCCTATTTCCTTGACAGTCATACTCCCAGGGATTCTTACTCTTTAGAAACATAAAAGATACATGTGGAAGATTTATAAGTTTCACATGTCAGTGTTTTCTTTCTTTTGGTGGTAAAGTTCAAAATGCATATAGAACAAACCTATCACCACATTCCAGGAAATGTCAGGAAAAAACATTTTTATGAAGGAAGGCTCTGAGAGGAGGAAATTACCCTTCTACTCTTTCATAGCTACTGTCACTACGCTTTGGTTTTCTTATTTATAAAATTGGACTATTAATAGTCCTTGACTCCACAACTGGAGGGAACATTACATGAGATAATGCATATGAAGAGTTGCAGCCACTGCCAGGCATGGAGAAAAAGTTTAATAAATGTGTGATAATTGTCTTGATGGTAATAAGGAATTTGGAGTCTCAAAAAGCTGCATTGCAGTATTTCAACAGAGTTTTCTGATAAGAAATCAGAACACATAATGTAGCATGGTTACTTGAATTTGCTATACAGAAAAGAAGTACATTTCTTTGTTATGTAATGGATACCATGCATTCTTACTCACTTGTGGGGAGGTAGCATGCACACAGTTATGCCTTGTGTCACTGCCTTGATGATCAGGAGCTTTTCTTGAATCTTTTTGAAGGTCTAACACAACTTTTGATATTAAACAGTGAATATAATAGGCTTTCTTCAAGTACTAATCAAATTTTTCATGCCAAATTGTACTAGAAGAAAAGATTTTCACTTTATAAACATTGAGAAGACGTTTATTTTTAAATGTAATTGTAACGTAGTATTTTCAGGGGATTAGTTCTAGGGTTCCCTGTGAAAACCAAGATCCAAGGATTTCTAACTCTCTTATATAAAATGGCATAGTATTTGCATATGACCTATTCATACCTTCTTGTATGCTTTAAATCATCTCTATATACCTTACAATAGCTAATACATATAAATGTTATATAAATAGTTCCTATAATCCATTGCTTAGGGAATAATGACAAAAAAACGGTCTGTACACGTTCAGTCCATATATGTTTTTGTATACTTTGTCTTCAGTTGGTTGGATCTGCAGATGAAGTACCCAAGGATACAGAGGGCTCACTATAAAAGGAATTAAATTTGCAAAGAAGACCTTAGAAACTACCTCGTCTTACTCTTTTAATAGGGGTCTATCCTCTACTTATCCCCAACCTTTCTGCTTAACATAATATGTGTCACATAATGAAATGAAGTAAATGGTTTCTAAATATCAAGCTGTCCTCATGTTAGAAATCTTGGCACTAAGCCATACAAACCAACTTGAGGTAACAGGGAATTTACTGAAAGGAAGCTAGAAGGACCACAAAATGTACAAAAAGCTGGAATACCACACTTGATAATATGAGCAGAGTGGAAGAGCTATGGCAAGTTGGGAACAAGAACCATAGCCATGGTCTTTATATAACATGGAGTATCTATCTGTTCAGCATGCTGTCTTAGAGAAAGAGAACCCACATTCCACTTTCTTCTATACTTGGGTGATGGATTCAAGGATTGGAGTATATCAAGATTTGTGAGGTGTCTACCCTGTACCTTTTAAATTAAATTTTATTGAACTTTTGTGAATTTTATACAATATATTTTGATCATATTTAGATCCCCTCCTGTATCTATACCCCCCTTCCTAACCTCTCACCAAATTTCTGTACTCTAGTGCTTGGCTGTGTCAAAATCCCCAACACCCATGTAAAAAGCCAGGCATGGTATCAGGTGCCTACAACTCCAGGGTGGAGGTACAGAAATAGGCAGATCCTGGGGCTTGCTAGTCAGCCAGCCTAGCCAAACTGCTTATCTCTAGGTCCTTGTTTCAAAAAGAATAACATGGAGTGCAATCAATCACAGATGATGCTCATATTTGGCCTGGCCTCTACGTGTGCACACACAGGCAAGTGTATTCGCACACACTTTTGGACACGCATACACACTGCACATGCACACACCAAACTCACACATACACACAAAGAAAATGTTACAGATTTTTTTGAAATTTTTTATTTATTTTGCATGTGAAATATGCACTCTACTACAGAATGACACCCTTAACATTCCTTTTCCTTTTTTATTTTCAAAAAGAATATCATTAAATTTCCCAGTCTGACTCACTTTGTAGCCTAGGCTGGCCTTGAACTTGGAATCTTCCTGCCTCAGTTTCCTGAGTGTGTGGACTTACAGACCTGCGCAACCAGGCCGGACTGGTTCTTGTGTTTTCAGAATGCCATCTAGCTTATTATACTTTTCAGTTGATTCCCTTTACTTTTATTTTCCAGGGGAAAACTTACCCTTTTCGGGGAGCATTTCCACCTGTGTGGAATCCCTTGGCATATTTGGATTACAACAACCTGTGGAGAACAATGGATGAAATGGGAAAAGAGGTAAAATATTTAGTTTGTACATGACCTATTTCTGAAGAATGAAAACTGAGTACAATCCTTCTAAGGTGCAGGGAACATTGCTGACATGCATTGATTCATATTCTTTCCAGTATACTGAACAACTCTGTAAAAGCTGGAAAGATTTCCACTTGACAATGGAGAAACTGAGTACCAAATTTTTATATAATTCACTCAAGACCATGCAGCAAAGGAACCAGAATTCAACACCATTCTTTTGGTTGTTATTAAAGTCTACACATATTTATTTATTTGTTTATTTATTTATATTTTAATTAAATTTTTGTGCATTTTGTACAATACATCTTAATCATATTTAGACCCCCTCTCCCATCTGCTTCCCCCATAACCCCCTTACCGGATTTCATGCATTCTGTCATATATGTTAATGCCTATCCAGTCAAATGTTCGTACCCAGATGTCCCTTGGTACAAGTTCATCTACTGGAGTCTAGCAGCCTATCTAGAGTCACTCCCTTAAAGAAGATCAACTCTCCCTCACCCTGCAGTGATCACCTGCCAATAGTTCTTCAGCTAAGTTTGGGGCCTCCTTCCCATTTCCCCAGTTCTATGCTGGGTTTTCGTCTGATTGAGTTTGCATGGGTCTTGTGTATGCTGTCACTGTTACTGTAAATTCACAACCACTCTTGTGGACACTAGTGACCATGTGCCTTCAATTCTATTCCATTGGAAATATATATATATATATATATATATATTACATATTTCTGCCAAATTACTTAGTTATGTATCTGTAATACCACATTAAATCTTAGGGAAGGACTTCCTACTTCAGAGTTTGTTCACTCACAGGCTCTGAAATATTATTCTCTCAAACATCAACTGGGGGCCTAAAATGGGTGTTATCTTTCAGTAATAATATATTGAGATTGATAATTATCACCATCATCCCAATTACAGAAAAATTTCACATGCTGTTAATATGTAATTATCATCGCTATCATTGTTTTGACAATAGCATTAAGGTGTGGATTTCTGATTTCTCTCACCTCTCTGTGGACTTTCTAGCCAATCATAAAGAATAGGAAATCAGTTTACAGAGGTTCTTAGGAAGGCTTCTCTAAGGGGGTGGAGCAGTGGGGTAGCTCTCTTCACACCTGAGTGTGGACCTCCTTTCATTGCAGATTCCTGCTGATGCACCATGGCAGGCACCACATGCTGAAGAATGGGACAAGATGACCATGAAAGATCTCATTGATAAAATCTGCTGGACAAAGTATACTTGATGATTTAAAATCTTTAAAAAAAATCTTCTCCTCTGATCCTTTCTATACCATCCTGAGTTACAGTACTATTTTTGTAACTTATACAGGAAAAGTTAAGGAAGCTAGCCAGAGCAGGTTTGAGTAGAAAATGAGTAAAAAACTTAAGAAAATCTGTGCATAGACTAGGACATCTTTGAACAAAAGGGTCATATGATCTGTAATAAAACCAATGACTTTTAAAATGTTATATTCGGGTTGCATATAAAAGCAATTTGTAAGTATCTTTAAAATATTTTCATATAGATGGTTATGGAAGATGGTGTGAATCTTCTTTGTATGAATGAAAATTATAAACCATATAAAGAAATTACTTAGGATCTGTTACTAGTTTAGTAATTTCCAGTTTACTAGTACTTGACTTAGTGATAGGAATACCTTCTAAGAAATGTGATATTTAATGCAATTTCATGGATAAACATTTGAGTTGAGTGTATGTAAACTAAGATGACTTGTAGACTATAGAACCTTCTGGAAACACTATTAGATGTGCATCCATCATGCATCAAAATGTTTTGTGGCTCATGACTATGTTTATTTTGCATGCATTTTAATTGACACATAAAAAATTACATACTTATCAGCATGTTTTTAGCTTGGACCTAATATGCAAAGGCACTCGGCCAGGCATTGACTGAGGAATAGTATTTACACTGCCTTCATGTAGTGTATATTCTTTTACCAGGAAAGACTAACATTGAACATACAATTGCATAATGCTACGCAAATACCTATAGCAAAGGGAACCATACTTGATCCAAGGGTAGAAGAAAGCATTTCTTGGTACAACATGTATTAAATTGAAACTAAATAGCTAGTACATCAGTTAAAAACGAACTCAGAGACAAAAGGAAGATAGAAAAAATAGATGATTAAGAGTGAAGGTTTCTTCTAGGAGTAGTCCAAGGGCAGAAGAGAGACTAAAGGATAATGTTAAGGGGTAGTATCTTCTAGGAATGACCCAAAGAGGCTGCAGGGAGAAAAGTGGTATGCTGTTTTCTGGGAATAACTCATAGGATCAGAGTCGAAGACAGAAAGGGTGAATGGTGTAGAGTATATGGCATCTTCCAGACATGACCCACAAGAGCAGGGAAGAAAGGATTGGTGGATACAATGACAGGACATTACCATTATTCTGGTAATGGCCCACAGGAACTTGGGAAAGAAAAGAAAGGGCAGATAAGAATGTATATTATAAGAATGACTCAAGGACTGGGGGTGTATGGGGGAAATTGTATGATGTCCAGGATGATGTCTTTTAGGAATAACTCATAAGAGCAGATGGAGACAAGGTGGGATAGAGGTGGGGTGAGTTTATTTTCTAGGAATCAACCAATGGATTGGGTCTGGAAGATGAGGGGATCAATCTTGGGGGCAGGTATTTCCCAACAATGAGCCAGGGTTAGAGATCCTATTCAGGCAAAATGGTTAGTGTGGTAGGGTGGTATCTTTCAGGACTGACTCACTGGAGCAGAGGAGGGTAGATTTTGTCAGTGATGTCAGTAACCCAGGCATATGCCTAAGTGCTGGGGAAAAGAGAAGGAAGCTTGGATATTGTGGGACAGGAATTAATATCTTTAGTTAAGTGCTCCACCAGGATAGAGGGAGCAGAAAACCTAGGTAGGGTTAAGATGGTGTTATCTTCAATCCAGTGAGTTGAGGAGGAGCAGTATGACAAAGGGATATTGTGAGGGGAGTAATGTTATCTTCTGAGAAAGAACTGAGGTCATAGGGAGTTAAAGGATGCTCTGCAGCCTGAGGAAATGATATTTTCAAGGAAAGAGCCCAAGGTCATGGGGGAACTATTATAGATGGTATGGCAAGATGATATCTTCTGAGATCGACTCACAGGGGATAGGGGGATAAAAAGGGGATACTATCTCCCAGGAGGAATGACCTAAAAGTTCAGGGTAGCAGAATGGAAGAGGAAATGATGTGACTCAGCAATAGAGCTGCTAAGTCAAAGATGGAGAGAGAAAAGATTTAGCAGAATGATATCTTTCAGAAACAGCCTGTAAGGACAAGGTAAAACTGGAGGATGGATAGTGAAAGGTAGGGTAATAACGTCTAGGAATTACCAATTGAAAGAAGAAAAGTAGATATCTGTCAGGGTAATATCTTCCATGAAAATCCCACAAAGGCAAGAGGGACATGGGAGTATGAATCATGTGGAGTACTGGTTAGTATATTTCAGGAATTCTAAAATAAAAAGACTAAAAAGAGATATGGGAAATGATATCTTCTAGAAATGACCCATGGAGATGGGTCACAGGAAGAATATATCAATCCAGTACCTTTCAGGAATTAGCCAGAGGGCCAGGGAGAGTGGAGAGTGGATCCTGGATGATGTGGTATCTTCTGGGAATATATCCATAAGATAGTACTGTGAGACAGATGGGGTGTGGTTGATGATATCCTTGAAGAATTACCTGCTATATCTAGATAAGAGGCAGGAAGGGTGTATGGTTTAGGAAAAATAACATCTTCCAAGAATGATCAATAGAGACTAGAGGGAAATAGAGAAAGTACAACTATTCCAGAGGTTCTTATTTTCCAGAAATTGACCTATAGGGAATGGAGAAATCAAAAAGGCTAGGTGCTGGGGCAGGATGGTGTATTTTAGGAGTGACCTGCAATTTCAGGGAATACAGGTTGAATGGATGATATTGGAACAATGGTGTCTTCCAGAAATGATTCAATGGGTGGGGATGACAGGCAGGAAGGATGGAAGTTGTGAGGGAAGATGGTATCTTTCATTAAGGTGCCTGAATCATGGGGGAGAACAGAGTGTAGTTGGCTTTTTACCTTCCTGCAGTGATGCACTAGATTGGGGGAGGGAAGACAGGAAGGCTGGAAGTTATGAGAGGGGATTGTGTCTTCAGCAACATGCCAGGGTCATGGGGAGAAGGGAAGGTAGTCAGCATGGGAATATGTAAATCTTCCAGGAAAGAACCATGGTCAAGGAAGAGAGGGGAACTGTGTGGTGGTGTGGCAGGATGGTATTCCAGGAATGATCCACAGTGGTTGGGGGAGCCGGAAAGAGTAGGTAGTGGACTTTAAAAATACTATTTTTCATGAATCCACCAAAGGACTGGGGAGATGGCTCAGTGGATAAAGTGCTTGCCCTGAAAGTGTGAGAACCAGAGTTTTGTTCCTTAAAACCATATAAAAGTTGAACAGACATGGTGACCATGAGACCTATAGTCTCACTGCTGAGGAGAGAGAGACAAGAGATCCTTGGAGCAAGCTGGCTAGCTAGACTAGTCAAATCAGCAAACCCTGGATTTGGTGAGAGACCTGCCTCAATAAATAAAGTCGTCCAAGATGGCACTTGACTTTGACCTCTACACACACCCACATGCACATGTAAAATGCATACATACGCATGCACAGCACCCATGTACATGCCAAAACAGCAACAACCAAAAAAAAAAAAAAAAAAAAAAAAAAAAAAAAAAAAGAAACAAAAACAAAATGCAGTACAGTTGCTGAGGGACGAGATAGAAGTATAAATGTGATGGGATGACATGTTCTAGATGTCCCAGAGGTATCTCTGAGAGATGGAAAGTTGCATAATTTGGGGGATAATATGTTCCAGGAATTAGCTGAAACAAGACAAGTAGGGGAGATTACAAGATTCTACACTGTTACCTTCTAGGAACTACCCAAGGTTAGAGGTGGGCTTGATGTTAGATAATGTGGGGATGTGACTGTCATCCAGGAGTAAGCCACAGGGGCATCTGGGACTCAAGAAAAGTTAAGTAGGGTTAGATACTACCTTCTAGGTATAGCTCACAAGGCCAGGAATAAGGAGATACAAAAATAGATAAAATAGGGACATTTAATGTCTTGTAAGAATGACCAAAAAGCACAGAGAAAGAGGATGGGTGGCTGGTGGATTATGCACAAATGATACACTGTATAGAAAAGGAGAGAGTGAAAAGCAGAGGTAGTTGAAGTGTTAGCTGCCAGGAATTACAGTCGAAAAGGCAGAGGATAGGGAAGATGACGTTGAGAAATGATAATCTTACAGGAATGACCCAGTGGATGGAAGGGGAGACGTGTAGACATGGGGAAGACATTAGGGATATTGTCTTCTAAACAGAGAAAATAAGGAGTGACTTTTGGAAATGGTCTGAGATAGGAAGATTGGCAAATTTCAACAACTGAGTGTTCAGTATGCCTGAACCATGTAGTGTAAGGAGTGGTTGGAGTAATGGTTAAGCAGGCTATGGTGCATTATATATTGGCTACAGTTAAGGTTTGACCTTTCTCCATTTTAGGATATTGAAGAGTTTTGGTTTGATTTTGTGTTTTTGTTTTGGGGTTTGGTTTTTTGTTTTGGTTTGGTTTGGTTTGGTTCTATTGGGGCAGAGTTTCATTATGTAATCCAGGCTGGCCTTTAATTTGAAGACCTTCTGCCTTGGCCTATTGATTGCTGAGATTATATAGGCCTGTGACCATGCCCAGCTTAGCACTAAAGGGTTTTAAAAGTCCTCATTGTGTTTGGCATGGCAGAGGGTATTATAGAGGATATAGGATGCCTATATAGAGGTTACCACTTTTGTGGTCCATGTGAAACAGCGTTATGTACAGTATCAGGGTGGAGGCAGAAAAGTTGAAGTAGTAAGGATATTCTTTAAAATAGATGAAAGATGTGTCTGATGATCAAGCATATTGAATCCTTATTTCTTAATAGCAGGAGAAAACATCTTTTTCTTAAGTGCTACCAAATGCTTTCCTGTGAAAACTAAGGCCATAAGGTTTTGGGTTTTGTTCTGTTTTACCAGAAGCAATAGAAATACTTTCTACTCATGTTACACTGCATTTTGTAAATGTACACTCTGATTACTGTATATATTTTTAATTTTTAAATTTTATTATTTGTGTGTGTGTATGTGTACGAGTGCAGGTGCATGCATTTCCCAGCATCTGTGGGTCACAGTGCACAGGTGGAGGTCAGAGGATAACTTTATGATCTTAGTTTTTTTTCTTTTCTCCTATATGCACTGACACTTTATTTCCACTCTTACTCTGTGAACAGAACTGCCCGAGAATTTGCTTCTCTTTTTGTTAACATCAATGTGACCTCAGAACCTCATGAGGTGTCTGCTCTGTGGTTCTTGTGGTATGTGAAGCAGTGTGGCGGCACTACTAGGATCTTCTCAATTACCAATGGAGGCCAGGTAATACCTTGTCTGTTCTGAAACTAACTTTGAGACTTTTGCCCTTGCCTAGAGCAATGCCTTGATAATTCCTTCAGTATTTATAATCATTTATGGTAGCATAAAATTATCCAAAAACCATGTCTGAAAAATTTCTCATTTCCTTTTTTTAATTTCTGAAAAATCCATAGCTGAAGAATGTTTCATTTTTAATTAATTATATTTTGGGAATTGAGTTTGTTCCAGTAAGACAAAGGAAAAATTAAGCTATTCAAGTAAAAGCAGCTAAGCTATTAAAATAAGGTGATTTTAAAAAAAAAACGTTTTACATATAAGACTAGTATACTTATAGTCCTCCTCATTCTATACTTAGATTTTTGTCCCACCTATTTCTCACAGTTATTTTTTCATGTTAATTATTATAGAATAGAAATAATGATCCTAATTCACACAAGTGATTTATAGCCACTTTCCATAGTAAATTGTGCAATTTGGATTCAGCATTTTTGCTGTCACCTTGTTTAGCTTCCATATGCTTTCATTACTAATGAGTGAACTCATTTAATTTACTGGCTGGAAACATAGTAAACTAGTGGCAAATTTAGAATCCTTAATTCCCCAATTCCTTTGACTCTGACATTCTATGTAATGCTCTCCCATATCCGAAGAGAATTAATGTCTCTTTTCTAAGAATGTTATGCCTGAGTGGGATGAGGTTTAATTAGTTGTAGTTTACTTCTAGCTTATGCTATGTTACCTGAATCGCAGAATTTTGAGTACATTTTATAAAGTTAAGAGTATCTCCACCAAGAGAACTATTTCTCTCCTTAGGAGGTCACCAGAATTCTCCCAAATGTTCTTGTGACACAGTTGCTCATTGGACAACTAATTTTGGCAGATACAGGACATTTGCACTTTTAAAATATTTACTTATATCCGTGTCCTCTACAAGAGCAGTCAGTGCTCTTAACCACTGAGCCATCTCTTCAGCCCATTCGATTCCCAGCACCCACATGGCAGCTGCGAACCATCCTTAACTCCAGTTCCAGGGGAATCCGAAGCCCTCTTCTGAGTTCTGAGGCATTGCATGACAGGGGTGCACTCACATCCATGCAGGCAATGCACTCATACACATAAAATAAAAATAAGAAATAAAAATTTTTTTAAAAAGAGTTCAAGTTCATCCTCGGATACTTACCAAGTTCAAGGCCAGCCTGGGATAATACATAAGACTTCATGCTTTTAATCCCAGCACTTTGGCGAGAATCTAACTATATTTATTCCAAAATAAGTATGTTCCATTACTTTCTTTACTATGCTATTTCAGAAAGAGCCTAATTTGGTATTCTGGAGCTGGGGTTAACAGGAATTGTGAAAGATATGTATTCTTTTGAAAGATTGACCAATTCTTTCTTTGAATTAATAAATAAAATATTTTTAAAAATATTTACTTATACGCAGACACTCAACATTGCTCCTTTTTAGCTCATATTTTACTTTCTGGGTTATTTATTTTGACTCATGGGTTATTGTATCCTTCATTCAAAGGGAACAGAATACTTCTGGATACTTCTATATGACGTTTTGGAAAGTAGAGTTAAAATTTTTAATCTCAGGTATCTTGTGGAAGAGGGGGTGGAAAGATTCTAAGAGAAGAGGCGGATGACCACATGGATATAGAGTTTTCTAGACAGCTGGTCAATTAGATGAACTCACAGCAGTGATGACAGTATGCACTAGTTCCATGCAAGAGCAAAAAAGACAAACTCATAGTATAGACATGGGAAATTAGAACTCTACCTGAGGCACCCCCAACCCTATTTGTGGAATTATTGGTAACCAGTGGCTGCTGGGATGAAGAGAGTCAATCTCTTCCAAATATATGACTCTTGGTAGGTTAACCAGGCTCCAGTGGTTAGACCCATACCAAAGGACACTTGGGGACACAAATTAGATTCTATAGGCTCTAATATATAGAAAAGAGTACATTAATTTAGGAGGGGGTAGTGAAGGAGTGCTGCAGGTAAGGGATGGGATCTAAATACAATAAAATAGATTGTATAAAAATTGCAAAATTTCAATATAAATAAAATATAAAAGTTTGAATCTCAAGCCGTTATCATAATCTTAATGTTTTATTTATTATTTTTAATTCTTTGTGTATGAGTGTATTGCACCTATGTCATGCAGTGCCCACAGAGGTCAGAAGAGGGTGTCAGATAACCCAGAACTGGAGTTACAGTTGTCAGCTGCCATGTGGGTGCTGGGAACTGAATCTGGGTCCTCTGCAAGAGCAGCCAATGTTCTCAACTGTTGCTCCATCTCTCCAGACCCCACAATATCTTTTTTAAAGAACTTAACATTTACTCTCTTACAGTTTAGTTCAACAAACCCTGAATACAGGAGTGGAGAGTGAACAGATGGCATAAGTTCATGATTTTCCTACTACACTAAAATTTAAAGCACAACTCTTGGGAAACAGATAAAATTCTATATTAAATGGTACCAGTTTCTTAAGGAAGGACAAATTATGAATTTAAGACTGAACCACTATGGGACCATTTTTATAAAGAACTTTGGTGGTCTTGATAAAATACTAGTTGCAAAAAGTCAAAAAACTACTGCATGGCTATTCATGATTGAGGTATAATAATTTCGAGTTGTGGCTTGTACCTGAATTTACTAACATGAATTCCTAATCATTCAAAGAATCTTTTAAAACAGGCTTAGAACATCCCTTTGTTGTTACCAAAAAGATTATCTTAAGTACTTCTCCTTTGGGATGGTACTAAAGCAAGATCCATGGTGAGTATAGCAGATTACGGTAGTAGAGCACTTTTGATCCTATGGGGCTGCTCAAGGGAAATATTAAAGTCTAAAGAAATAATCAGACACTTAGCCCTTGGCCTTCTGTGTCTTCAATGAAACTTAGCTCGTTTTCAAAAAAAAAAAAGTTACTCAAAAATTAAGATTCGGATCCCTAGAACCTCATTTGGTAAAGTCTGATAGTCATTGGTGCCCTAAGAGCACCCTGAACCTGCTCTCTTAGAATCACATTGTAATATTGTCTGTGTCCTTGTGCAGACAAGCCATGCCTGGAATGATAAGAAGCCATAGGGAGTTAGAAACTGTATCCCCTGGAATCAACGCAGTTATCTTCATCTCCCAGGGCTCCTTACATCACCACACTCATGGACATTTAAACTCCACAGACAAGCTATTTCCATTTGATCAGAGCAGCATTGGTATAGGGGAATATTTTTCTCTGGTCTCTGACTTTATATACTAGTAATGACTTTTTTGTGTGTGCTGGAAAGTGTGCTGAGGATGATAATTGAGGTACTTTGCTAACGATTTCTTCCAACAATTGGCTATGCCAAGGGTGGAGGACTGGCTACAACTTCTTGGAGGTTTCCTAATTCATAGCAAACATTCTGTTGATCTCCTTTTACATATAAGTTTCCTTTATTGCTCACCTCCTCATATAGGAACGGAAATTTGTAGGTGGATCTGGCCAAGTAAGTGAACATATAATGAACCTTCTTGGAGATCGAGTGAAGCTGAACTCTCCTGTAACTTACATTGACCAGACAGATGGCAACATCATTGTAGAGACACTGAATCATGAACATTATGAGGTAACATCATAGTCAAAAGGAGTTTATGGTAAAAAACTCTTGTGCCTTTTACAACTTCAAATCATGTATAATCTGATCAGTGATTTAATTAATCCTAGCATGTATCTACCATCAGTCTTCCAAACTGACAGCCTTGGTTTACGTACCTAGTTCTGTTTTTGGGGTTTTATATTTGGTTGACTGGTTGACTATTGGGGTTCTTTGCTTCATTGTAGCCTCATTTAATATGTTATTACTGCTATATTTATTCAAAATGATAAAAAAATTATGTTTCATGCCTTCGGCAAGGCTGTATGAGCTAATATTTCACATCTTGTGTTTTAGTGCGGATATGTAATTAGTGCCATCCCACCAACTTTGACTGCCAAGATCCACTTCAAACCAGAGCTTCCACCAGAACGAAACCAGTTAATTCAGCGTCTTCCAATGGGGGCTATCATCAAGTGCATGGTGTATTATAAGGAAGCATTCTGGAAGAAAAAGGGTAAGCTTTTGTTATTTGTGTTCTAATTAAGTCAAAGAACCACTTTTTAGGGATATGAACAGAACATGCTGAATAGAAAAAAATATTTTCAAATTGATTGAAATAGGATTGTAAATCTATTTGTAAATTATTTCATGGTCTCTGATCACACAAAATAACCTCAAGTGTGGTTGCTGGCAATAGGCGAGAAAGGAGGGTGAGCAATGTGAACACCGGTTAGGGAACCACCAATTTCCTGGCTCCTAGCATTTGTCTTGCCACTTATCCTTCATGAGCAGAATGAGACCAAGGGAGTTTATGGAAAAAGTACTGCTCTGAAGTCAACTATTCCTGACCTTCAGTAACTTACTAGCATCAGTCTCTAAACATAAAATGGTGATAGTATTGCTACTTGTCAGCACACTGTATTAAATGAAGCAGGGTCTGAGACTTTGGTGCTCTCCAGATAGGGTGGCTACTGTGGTTCCTGGTCATACTCAACAGTATTCCTTCTTACAGCTTCTTCACAGGCTGATAGAAGTGATTCCTTCTAACACATCCCACCTCTTTGCCCACATATCTCTGCATATCATGTCACTATATCAAGCTCTTTTTTTTCCATCTTACCATTTTGGCCCTATATAAGTCATAGCCCTTTATTTTGTAAAGGTGATAGACAGTGGTCATTTGTTGCAAAAAAAAAATGTATAGTCAGTTTGTGTATTTAACAGAAATGAACTCCTAAGTTTTGAACAAAGACCAATAGTGTAAAGATTTTTCCTTTCTTCTGAGTAAAATCATTTGTATACAGTTTTTATATATGTGTATATCTCTAATGTTAGTTTCAAGCCCTTACTGGTTTTCTTCTGATTAGACTATTGTGGTTGCATGATCATTGAAGACGAAGAAGCTCCCATTTCTATCACCCTGGATGACACCAAACCAGATGGCTCAATGCCTGCCATCATGGGGTAAGTTAGAGCTAGGTATCGTTTCTAAATTGTGTTGGTAAAAATGATGGTAAAGGATACTGTTTTATAATTGAACTCAAACAATGATGAATTCAAAGTATGTAATGTTTCCATGTATTAAAATACTCATTAGTTTTTTCTATGTGATAAGAGCACTGGAAAACTACTAAAATTTATCCAATTTTGAATTTGTGCTCATATATTTCTTTCTCCTATAAAACTTGAACAGCAGACCCCAATTCTATCCAAAGGAATATTGACAATAGATTGCCCTAGATGAGGAACAGCTGATCCTCCTGGATCACGGACCTCTGGCTGACTACATTTACAAGAAGGGCAGACGGGGGGAATGGATGGGGGTGCTGACAACACGGTGGGCTGTGACAGGGATGGCAGAGTGTGGAGCCTCTGGTGGGAGAGGAGGGCTGTCTATCTGACGAGTTTGCGTGCATGCTCGGATGCCGAGGAGCTCAGAGGGTGGGCAACTGTGACCAGTGTCAGCTGGGGATATGGAGAGACCTTGTCTCAAAAATGAAAGAAAACAAAAACAAAAACAA